TATATATATATATATATGTATACTTATTTATTTATTTATTTACGCTATCATTACTGCATTACAATTGTATTTTTGTACTTACAGTGAAGTGCAGTCTCTAAACTTTCTCACTAAAATAATAAACTTATTATTTTATAATTTTTCAATAAGTTTTATTATACTTATCACCCATCGATTGCCAATCTTCTAACACTGTTCCATCTTACTGCCACTATTTACATTTAATTCATTACTAATTGTTTGATTTATCATCATCAACTTCACTGCATAGAATTCCTCTCTTAAAAAATGCATTAAAAATAGCAATTTTATTTATTTCAGTGGGGGAATTCGAATATGTGATAGTCTATTTCTGTTAATCATTTGAATTTTGTCTATTGTACTTACTTCACATATTCTATTCATTAGCAGTAATAATAAATACTAATTTTATTTTTTTTATTATTTTTGTTGGTTATTACTTTTTTAGCTTTTCAGTTATTCTTTATTCATAATTAACAATTTAAACACACTTTTAAATTCATATCTGTCATTATTTTCGAATTCTTGAATTTATTTAAGTACTATTAAATTCAAGTAGATATTTAGACAAATTCAATTTTTGCTTTGGTTTTCATTTTTTATTTTTCAATGAAAATTCTCAAATTCTGTACGCTTTTTTGAATCAAATCGTTCAAATTTTTGAACCCAAAATATTCACTCGCATAAGTTTGACATTTTGTTAATAACTCGCTTTTTTATTAAAAAATTTTGGCAAAAATTGTACTTTTGAAGAACCCATTCGTATTTGTTATTTGCAATCGCAAAATCGTGTCTTATTTAGATTCAATTATGTTTCAAAATACATTGTGATAATAAAAAATTTTAGCACGGAATTTCAGCTTCATAGCAATTTATTTATATTTGCTATTTTTGGGTATTATTCAAACTTGTACTTTGAATTTTTGAAAAAATTAAACTTTCAATTTTTCAAGCTAGTTAGCTTTTCTTTGGTTTCAATACCAATTCTCATAGCACATAATTTGCATAAGATATGCAAATAAATAAGAATGTCATGTAAATAAGGAAAAATTTTTTGTGACAGTTAATAACAATATTGTTCGGTATTAGCTGCAAAACTGGTGAGTGCGCAAGAAATATTACCAAACAAATTAACAATCTCAAAGAATAAACTTGTGAAAATGTGACTAATTTTGCTTAATTAGAACTAGATTTTACAGTATTAGGTTAATATGCAATCAAGCTTGCTAAGCACAAAATAACAGTTCAAATTTTTAGAAGAAAACATATATTTTATTACAGCAACAGAAGAAAAATTATTAGCATTAAAGCAAAATTTTTGGTTCAAACCAATATAATTATCAATAAATGACTAAAGTAGCTAGCTACTAGATGTTAAGGTGATAAGGTCTGTATCAAAAAAGCCAAGACATAAGTGTCAGAAGGCAAACGCTAAGACATCAGTAGAAAAGTTGTATTCTCGGGGGATATTACGAACTGATTTAGTCCCGAATTTCTCTTTTAATGAATGTGCTAAAAAAAATTGGTAGCAAAGTGAAAAAAGTATGTATATTTAAGCTTATCACAGAAGAATAATTTTAATTGAATTGACTTTTGCATTTCAGTTCATTTTATCTTTTTAGGAAGAATTTTTCATGCAATTGTCATAATCAGAAATAACGTAGCTGAAAGAATTTAGGGGAGCTGAAAATGTCAAAGTTGACACTAATAATAGAGGATTTTCTATTGCGGATATTATTACTTCCGTATTATTTAATTTTTTAGCTTGTGGCTAACATACTTTTCATCCATTCACTTCTATTCGGTTGCATCTTTTAGTCCGCTTAGAATTTGTTGCTAAATTTAAGTAATTTTGAAAAAATATAACTTGTTGGTGTTTGCTTGCCGTTTAATTATTTGAAGACAATACCAGAGTACCAGTTACTTTAACCTTTCTTCGTTACTGAAAATGATAGTTTACGAAGAAGACCGCTGACTGCAACTCTGTAAGATTATATTACAAAGGCAATTGTTAACCTTTCATTTTGTTGAGGTTGTGAAAGTAATCCTTTCGTAAAGTTTATCTTTTTGGAATACAAAAGTTTTTGTTTTCGTAAACAATCTGAAATATTTTGGCAACATTAAGGCATTATTATCACAAATAAAAAGGCTCATCTTGAATTCTTTTGTACTCAAATACTCAATTATCTATAAAATTTAATTTTTGTTACCATTCAACTGTTTTCAAAAACAAATTGCAGCATAATTTTTCCATTATGCCAAGTGTCAAGTGCAATTTTTTGGCTCATAAATTAAGACTTTCCTCGATTTTGTAGCAATCATTTTATTTCGTGAAATTTCACGGTGGCAACAAATTAAGTAGAATTCATCAAGTAAAATTCAAAAAATTAAGTAAAATTTATTAATTCAAGTACTTTTTGATTTCCAGTCTAATAACTGATGAGTATTTCATGTACTAATAAATTTAAAAATTCAAATCAAATAAATGAAACTAATCCGCAAAGTTCGTCTATTTTTAATTGTAAGTATTACACAAATGATGGAATGATTTAATAATTTAACGCGTTCGCAGCCATTCTTTACATGCAATGAATAGCGATTACAGTTGTGATTGAGTGAGACTTATCCAAGTACGGAAGAAAGAAGTGGAGATGATTTGGTAGGATGTTGAGGAAGAATGATGCATGCCCGCTGTGCCAGATGTCTTCTTTTTTTCTTCACGGCCTTCAAAGTTACGACTAGTCTTGCCAGCGCAAATGATGAAGACCACAGTGATGAAGCTGTCGTCTACACAAAATTAGGCATTATTCGAGGCATACAACAAGTTTGATTTTGATTGCATTCTAACTTCTGCTTGTTTTTCATTATGTTATGAATATTTTGAGAAAAGTTCAACAAGAAAAGAAAAAAATCTGTCAGTTTCGCTCTAAATTCTTACTTTCTCACTACAACAACGCGATAACAAATATGCTGATAATAAACTGTCTTGACATAATACTTAATGATTCTGGAGCAATAATAATAATAATTTTCATAAATATAAACCCAGTTATCAATGTCCATCTTTGCACTTCATAGCCTATTGCCATATTCAGATTTTATTTGCTCAGTTTCATCCTTCCAACATTCTTCACAATGTTTTACTTCTTTGCCTTAACTTACCATCATTTCTATTCGTCATTTCCAGATCTTAACTTTATTTATTGTATTTTGATCTCATTACTTCTCTAGTTATGTCAGACATCTTTAAGTTATTTGTTTTCGTCATATCTTCACATCCTTAATATAAATTCTCCTATCTTATTTCAAAGTTATAATAAGTTTTATTACCATTTTTTCTCTGGTTTTAGCATCTGTGTAAATTTTTCTCTCATTATTGGTTTTTGAAACAAGTCATTTTTAAACTACTTTTACAGAACTTACAATGTTTGCAGAGATTTGAGGATACTTACGTAAATGCTTATCTGGGAATACCGTTCGCGCAACCACCACTTGGTCGTAGAAGATTTGCTTTACCTGAGATGATTGAACCATGGCAAGGTGAACTAGAAGCTCGAAAGCTTGCTAAAACGTGCTATATCACTCCTGATAGTCAATTCCCGCAGTTTCCAGGAGCTGAAATGTGGAATCCACCCAATGTATGCTTCTGTGCCAATCCAAATTAGTGTCTACATTAGTAAAATGTAATCAAAATCAGTGTTTATGCTAAGATTTCAGATTTTGATCATAAAAGTAACAAAGATATGATATAGATTTCTTTCCTCATTATTGTCTCAAAAAAGTAAAGTAATCATAATGAATGATGATGAATGATTCACTTCTTCAAGTAAATTAACATCAAATTAGTTAGTGAACTATTCTAAAATAATCATCAACTTATTAATCACTTGTTAACATTTCAAATTTGAGATTAAGAAATGATTAATTAGAGTTCAAACTCTTTGCAAGAGGCAAAATATTCAATTCAGTCTTAATTTGCTTTAGTTTTATTCGATTTACATGCATCAGTAAGCATTTCAAATAATTGTTCGTAAAAAGTTAAACCAAGTTTGAAATGAAGTTTTCGTCGTAACAATCTTGAGTAGATATATTCATGACCGAATCAAGAAAATCTTGATATATACCTAAAGTATTGTTTTTCTTCGATAGAAATTCAAAGAAGGTTGCCAACTAGCATCAAAGGTAGCACAGTAAAAAGAATTAGAAAGTTGTTGCTTTAGATTCAGTGCAAACAACGTTTTCACTTTCCTACTTCTTGAACAGTAAAAACTGATAGTTTAAAATATTGTATAATACATCTCTCATAATTCGTCATTTTTTGAGACCGTCAAAAATACGTTGTCTTATATCAACAGGTATATGATGAGGACTGCTTGGCACTCAATATGTGGGTACCTCACAAGCATGACGGAAAGGTTATGGTATGGATTTACGGCGGCGGGTTTTATTCTGGTTCACCATCGTTAGATCTGTATGATGGTAGAGTGCTTGCAAGTCGACAAAAAACTATTGTTATTAATATCAATTATAGGTTAATCACTTAATTAATATTGCAAAATTAAGTTAGTTTTCAAAAGTTAATTCATAACAAGTTCGGTGCAAATTTCACACTAAAATTGAGATTCAAAAAATTTGATTTTACTAAGCAAAGTTTCTTTTCGTACTTATCTAAGTTCTAGTTATGAAGATTAGTTGACAATTCATATCAAAATTTCATATTTATAGCAAAAATAATAAATGAACTGTTGCAAATATTTTTTCGCTATATAAAAAAGTGACCAATTAAATTTCAAATTAATTTAACTATGTAATAAGACTGCTATCATAAATTGCAATTAAAATACTCAACAGACTGGGACCATTTGGTTTCTTGTACTTTGGTGATGGGTCACCTATACCTGGAAATATGGGATTAATGGATCAGCAACTTGCTTTACAGTGGATTTATGAAAATATTGATTCATTTGGAGGTAACCCAAACAAGGCAAGCAGTAAATTGTTAAAAATTATCAAATCTTTACTCAAAAATTGCAAATTTTGATTTATATTCCAAGTTTCACAAACTAAAACAAAATCAAAAAGCATTTACAGATTACACTGTTTGGAGAGAGTGCAGGAGCAGCATCAGTAACTGCTCATTTTTTCGCTCCTGGAAGCTTTCGTTACTTCCATAAGGCCGTACTAATGGTAAGTTAATTTAATTTAAATTTAGATATCAAAGTTTAGTGCAGTTTGTTTGTTGTAGAGTGGTACAATAGCAAACTCCTGGGCTACGAAAGAAAAAAATATGGCCATTGAAACATCTATGTTTTTGGCAAAAAAACTAAATTGCACATCTGAGAATGACCCCAATCCTGATATTAACCTAATCACACATTGTATTCGCCAAGCACCTGCCGCGACAATACAAGTATATTTGCTATTTCTATAGCATATGAATAATAATATAATTCTTAAAAAATATAAGTCGAAAATTTTTAATTGTTTCATCGAAAACTTTTATTACTTCTTTTACAGTCAGAATCAGTGCTCGAAATCTTTACATAAATTTTTCTTGCTCAGTGAAGGAGAAATAGGAATTTCTGTAAAGTAAAAGTAAAATAATACTATGATTAAATACGATAAATGTAAATATAAATATAAATCATGGACTCAATCCATGCAATTGGAATACCAACGTTCTAATTACAAGCACATCTAATAATGGTAAATTGAATTAACCGATTACAGAGAGCTGCAGATGCAGTTGGCGTGGATCAAATACTACCAATGACCTTTCCATTTGTGCCTGTCGAAGAAGACGAACATTTTTTCAAGGTTCGGAACTAAGGAATCATTCATTCGGTTAGCTTTGTGCTTCGCTAAAGGCGCAACTGCTACACTCACTTCTAAAATTGTAATCAAAAAGTACAAGCAGGAATGTCAAGTGTTCGCTTTAGTCCCAATTTTAATGCATTTGAGAGAAATTAGTCAAGTTTTTATAGAAATTCGCAAATGACAAGAGTCTTTCTGTAAAACAAACCTGTACTTGTTACCATTTCATTGCTTCATTACTGCTCTCACTTGCAAGTATTTAATGAACAATTAATAATCATGTCAGCAGTCCACTGTATCAAGACGGATTTATTCTTGATATGAGCACTCGCTGGCATGAAAGCTTTATTGTGCAATCATAAACTGTGCCAGTATAAACAAGCGGCGCCAGTGCTTTAACTGAGATTACCCACACAATGACTGATTCACTGCTGATCAGTGATAATCTCTGTAACCATGATTCTAGTTTTCCAGGGTAATTTAATAACGAAAATGAAAATGCGAAATTTCAAAAGAGATATGAGTGTACTGGTGGGATCAATGAAAGATGAGGGCACATACTGGCTGCCTTATTATCTTCTCAGTCCTAAAACAGGCTTCCAGTTCAATCATACCATATCTGCTGATGACCCCAGCAATCGAGCTCTGATAAACCGGTTAATTTTTGTTTGCCTTACTTATTTACAACCACTGCATAGCAATCACAATTAATTTTAATTGCATTTGGATTTATTCCTCAATGAGTCTTTGCCAAAATGAACGAAACTCCTTACATTGCAGCATGCATAGTGCAATATTTAAGTCTCAGAAGTCTCAGAATGTTTTACTCTCACTGATAATTTGAGTTTCAATGTTTTATCATATCTTTATTTCAGAGCACAATATACACGTTCTTTGCAGTCATTTGCTCCATACTTCGGTGATTCTCAGCTAGTAAAGCATGCACTGCTGCATGCATATGAGGAGGTCAACTTCATACTTCACTTTCTAAATTTTGCTGATAAAAGTTAACAATAGTGAAAGTCCAGAGTGAAATTGACAATTATCCTACTAATTTCCAATTTAGCATGATTTCTTTTAGGTATCAGAAAGCACTGACCCTCATGAAAGATTACGTGATGGCGTTGCACGTTTTGTTGGTGATTTTTTTTTCACGTGCAGTTTGATTAAGTTTGCTGATATTCTAGCAGACAATATTTATGGATCTGTTTATATGTATTACTTCACAAAAAGGTATTTCAAAAAATTGTTCCCTCAACAACCATCAAAAGTTATTCACACTTCACTGTTTTGAAGCAGTAAATAGATGAAACAATCATTTCAAAATAATCACCGATCTCGATCTTATCTTTTGATAAAGTCAACATATTTTTGAGTGTAGAGCAATTTTTTGACTTTGATTCAGTTTGCAGTCAATGATTGACACTTTGCTTGCTACCACATCATAAATACTACCATTCCAAAATATTCTCAAAAATTAGCATTTTAACAGTTCTTCTGTAGCAGTAATGCTAAAAGTGCCACGGTGTAATTTGTCTGCAAGTGACTACAAATTAGTCTTAGATTACACCATCAAAATCAGTACCGATTAGAACTGCATTTCACATCTAAAGTCTTGAATTACTACTTATATTTTCAGATCATCAGCGAATCCTTGGCCAAAGTGGATGGGTGTTATGCATGGCTATGAAATAGAATATGTTTTTGGACAGCCTTTCAGACACAGTCACCTTTATGCACATACCCAACTTGCCTCGGAACAGCGTTTCTCAGAAGCAATCATGAAGTATTGGGCTACTTTCGCTTCCGAAGGGTACGCCTTTTGAAACTTACAGGAACTCTTTTTTGACTAGTATTTGCATTCTACGCTTCTTAGTATAGATGCACAGAACGAAATTACCTAATAATATTAAGAATTCTGTTTGGTACAGATAGCACTGCCCAATATTAGTTGTGTTATCTCTATTCAGTTAAAATCCTTAATATCCATTACACTTATCACTTTAAAACTATATGCACACTTCGGCTTTAACTTTACAAACTTGAGATAGTTCACTTTTGACAATGCAAAATGTTGTAATTAAATTTCTTACAGAGCACCAAATCCTCAATGGCCCAAATATAATAAAGTAACGCGTAAAGCATTCGTACTAGATGACGAAATAACGGGTACCAGTCACCGAATCGATGTTGATGTACACGGCAAATTTTGTCGTTTACTTTCAGAAGCCCAAGCTGTTCTCAATCCCGGTTGGTTTATTCAGAGAGGATATCTGCATAACTCAGCAATAAGAGTAGAAGAGAATGTTGCAACAAAATATTCTACGCAATGAGAAACTGACAATTAAATTTAGCCATTCTATACAATTATTTCCCTGATTACATCTCAATGACGGCAATGTAGCAAAAGCAAGCAATTTGTGGATAGAATTAAAAAGTATTGTAAGATAAACTACTCAAAACTATGTCAGCTTATCATATTTTGAAGGGTCTGTAGTAGCACTTGTCATTTCTTGAACAAAAAGCATGAAATTTCAGCGTAATCAATAAAATAATACAACTACAAGCATAATCCTTTATTACTTCAAAGATTACCGATAGATAGATAATATATATATTGATGTGTGAAACTAATAAAATCTTCAGACTGTGATATAGAAAAAGACGAATATTTACTGCTTCACGGTGGATCACAGAAGAGTGGCAAACCACTTTTATACCTTTACATTTTGATCACATTATGTTGTTGCCTTGTTTTGTCATAGTAGAAGGATGTTGCTACCAAATGAAACTTTCAATTTTGCATTCTACAAGGTTTCCTAGACTGCTTTTAGTATAATCAAAAACTCTCAACAGCGGTTTCGTCAGAAAATGCATAATTGCGAGGCAAATATGATAGAGTGTGGTGAGTCGCCATCCAGAACAGTACGACCAAAGACGACTGAGTAGTTATCGGCTAAGTGCCTGGAATCCAAATCATCTATTTCATTTTGATCGCAATGAAATCATTTATTCCAGCATGAACATAGATTTTTTTTTTGAATTAAGGTATAGTTGGCTCACAGTGTCACGTCATCCATACGTTGATCCCGTCATGTGAAATTCAATTTTTTACTTTTTAACCTATTTCTTGCTTTGCATTACGTGTATTTTGAATTAAACTTTGATCTATTTTTCGATTTTTTAATATTGTCCAATGTTTTCTCAATATTATTCACACTTTATCAATAAATTTGAAAATAAATGCACATACTAACACAACTGTATTTAGGATCACAATTCTGATATAATCTAAAAATAAAACGCAAGACCGTTGCAGATAATAAAATGGTATATAAAACATTAAATAACAGACAGTATCACACAAAGGTCAATCTTTTTTACAGTGCTGAATCTAGCGAGAGATCGTCTACACGCATTCTGCTGTACTCGGCCAGCACTCAAGCTCCTTGCTAATCTCCGTTGCTTTATCCTTATACAATTTATTCATGGCAATATCCAACTGCATTACTTTGCTTTCAACTTGTAAAGATTCGACACACAGGTACTGGCCTGAAGCAGTTGTCTTCTGGAATCAGATAAATCGACACAGCTTCCTCTACTTTGAGGTCCCCAACTTTCTCAGCAATGGCCTTTTGTTCTTCTTCTTCTCTGTTCATCACATGCGATCTCTGTCCTTTATTTTTTCCCAGTTTAGTTTTCGTCTCTCTACATCAGCTGTCACCTGTGAAGTGGATAGATAGATAAACAGATAATGGGAAGGTAGTACGACATTATTGTGAAGGAATTAAAGGCTGGAGAAGAAGCTATCGAGATTGAAGACAAGCACAGAAAAGAAGATAAGCTCTTTCACGAAACACTCATACAGCGAGGTTTGGCCAGCGAAAAGCTTGAAAATAAAGACCTGAGGGGGGCTAATAAGTGTATGGAGAGAATGAATCTCGTACTTGCTTTCAAATGTGACTGTCATGACACGTTAACAGCGCGTGAGGTTTACGACAATTCCGGCACAACGAGTATCTCAAAGAATTCGGTCCAGGTCATGAAGTGCATGATACTTTTCCCTCTGAAGCCGAATTTCGGAAGATAGTTTTCTATTGGCCCAACTGGAAAGCAGCAGATCCTGATGGAATCTATAACTTTTTGATTAAGAAGTGCACTCTCAGGCCTGTTCAAAATAATAAGATGGATTTGCCTTATGGGGAGCAACTGATGACTTGGAATGGAATAGAAACGAATGCTAAGAATATTAGCATATCTGATCAACAGCGCTCAAGAAATCACTCGAAAGTATCTCATTCGGTCACCGTCGTGGATTCAACTACAATGAAGCAACAATGATCAGCTCAATAAATCTGAGCGCGGGAAGAGTACAGCCAGAGTAACCGTATACGATCCAACTCCAGAATCAAAAATGACAGACGAAACTAACCTTCACAATCACAATAGCTTTTTCCACTTTTTCTGGTACTAAAGAATTGTTAATTCATTAGTAGCAAAAACTCGAAATTGGCACTTCGCTAAACTTCCTCAGTGCAACATTTGCATTCTTCATGTTATCACTGCAATTAAAAAATATCACGGACCGCAAGATCTCACGTGAATATTTGTCATCTGGGCAGCAAAACTTTGATTTTCGTATATGAGGTTGTGTCATAACTTGTCATTTCCGCTTCGGTTGTCTATTTTTGTATAAAGTTTGAATAAATCTTGAAATCTTCATGAAGATAAATTTGTGGAAGAAGTGCACTTTGTAAGCATTTTAAGAGTAATAGAAAGTTAGACCAATATAAAATTATACATTTTGTGACTTACAATATATTGTTTAGTGAAATCATATTCGTTCAGTTATTGTTTGCAGGTCATCTATGGAATACATTTTTGTTTAAGATATCTCACAAAGTTTAAAATATGGTTGTGCATCGAGCTTCCAATATGTTGATTGGTTCACTGGATGTGAAGGCAAAAACGGCTCAAATATTTCACCAGCTTATGATTTCAAAAGCATTAGTATCCCACGAACACAGAGGAATCTATTCGATTCTACCTATTGGTACTTTTTTAACCACTATTTTCAATTTAATTTGAGTTCGGAAAAATTTAATTTCAGCAAGAACTTAAAGTTTCATTGCTATTAAATGCTTACATGATATGCATTCATCGCAGTTTCAATCATCAGTCTGCCGTATCTGCATTATTTGTTGGCAAAACTAGAATAACTTTCTAAGTCACCGAAAAATCGATTATTAACTTTATATTTTTCGGTCAGCGTCTTATCGATAAATTGGTGAAAATTATTGAAGCTGAATTTAATTCTATTGGAGCTTATAAAATTACCTTGCCGATACTGGGAGAAAAAGAGATGTGGCAGAAATCCGGCCGATGGGATTCTTTTAAAGCAGAAATGTTCTGTCTCAACGATAAAACAGATCAAGTTTTTTGTCTCCAACCAACTCATGAAGAAGTAGTGACGAAGTTAGTTGCAAAACAAGGTTAGAACTGAAATTCTATACTAATTTTGGGGATGCACCTTTCTAAGTTCGGAACAAAAACTACTGTACTTTCATTTCATCAAGTTCAGTTGCGATTAAGCATATTGTATTTCAGGCAGTTTGCGAGAAACTGTTTATCCATTGATGCTTTATCAAACTGGACCAAAATTTCGGGATGAGTCTGTAGCTGGATACGGACTTCTTCGTAGTAGAGAATTTTTAATGAATGACTTGTATTCATTCGATACAACATATGAGAAAGCTCTAAATACTTACAATATGGTTAATGAAGTATGTTGAATGATAAAATCTTGATGCATGATATATCCCAAAGGAAGTATTTGATAAAAAATCCGAGATTCAGAGGAAAAACTCTATCAAAAGTTTTTTATTAAAGTGACATTATTGTTTTTTATCAGTGAAATTATTGAATAGTAAATAAGAATTTTTAAACTTTCGTGATTTTTCATAGCTTTCTTTATTGTTTCAGAGTTTTGCTTCATTTGGAGCATTTTACTAATCCTGTCTTGCGGCGTGTTTAGAAGCTAGTCTTTAGGCATACAAGCGCATATTTTATGATAAGCTTGGTATTGATGTTTATGTCGTTCGAGCTGATTCTGGAAATATTGGCGGAGAAACATCGCATGAGTATCACTTGCTTTCTAAAAGTGGTCGGGATAGTATTGCTTATTGTGCTAAATGTGATGTGGGTAAGGTTCCCTGCAGCTTTTTCTTTTTTAGAGAATTTTGAAATTGTTTAAATTTTTCATTAATTTTGTAAGTTTTTAAGATATCTACTTTTTAACTAATTTAACTCGAATTTAATTTATAAGTTGTGATTTTCGAGATTAAACCGCATTTTATTATTTGCGAACACAAAATGGAGTCATTTTTTCATCTAGCTACATAAACTCAAATTATTATTTAGTGGTACATTCTATCATTTTGTTAGAGTGTGATTTCATTTTGAGCGTTGTGGTCTTGTGTCATTTCAGGCATTAGTCATGATCTATTTAAACGTAACAGAAAGCCTTGCAGTTCATGTACTGAACAATGCACTACCATTGTTGATACAGTTGAAATCGCTCATACATTTCAGCTGGGTGATATGTTCACCAAAAAGTTCGGAGCCAACTATCGTCAGCAACCACTGGTAATGAACTGCTTCGGGATTGGCATCGGTTAGCCACTTTATGAAATGCTTGTTTTTAAATATTAAGAGGCATTGTAAAATACAGAATGTAAGGATATCTACATATTTCTACTATCTTGAAGCTTCGCATGCACGGAAATGCTTTCAGACCATACTTCTTACAAAGTCCCACAAGGATGCATTGAAAGACTTCATTGTGTCTTCTTGTACATCATCATGATGTAACATTTTCTCACACTGCTTTGCTAGATAATCCATCATCTTCAAACGTTACCTATTTATTTTCCTGCATTGCTAACAAAGGCACGAATATATTAACCTCACTGAAAGTATTTTCAGGTCGCATGATAGCTGCTTTAATTGATTCAATGTCACCCAGTAAAAAAGCTCTTCGTTTGCCTTATGTTTTGGCACCATTTAAAATAGCAGTCATTATGCCGAATAAATCTCAGCCAGAGACATTAAAGTTTGCTGAAAATGTTATCAATCACCTCTACCAAATATCCTCCCTTGAAGACGAAATCTTTGTTGATGACAGATTTGATAACTCAATCGGAAAGCGACTACTTGCTGCTTCAAATTTAGGTGAGATTACTGAAATCTTTGCTAAGAAAGAAATAAGTACGTAGCGGTCGATACCAAATATGTGATTCCAAACAATATTTACAGTCTTGATAATAATATTTTGAACTTCTTTCATTCAAAATGCATAAGTTTTATTCGTAGTTCAGATTTTCTTAAAGAGAGGAACAACAAGTGTTTGTGTCAAGAAATTCAAGGGTTGATCGATCGAGTTTTTTCTCTGAAAAGTGATTTATTTTATTATTCACTTCAGGTATTCCTCATATACTAGTAATTGGGAATCAAACTGCCAAAACACTGTTGGATAAACCACTTGTAGAATATTATAAAACAGAGACTAATACCGACATACCAATCAGAGTTGGAGATCTCCAGTTTGTTGAACTTACAAGACTTGTGGAGAAGCTGTAAATTGGCTTGAAGATCATTTGTCTCAGCTATTGTTGATTTTTCAATTATTGTTTTCAGGAGATTCATACTTGTCAAGATTCAGTGCAGATTCTGAACCTATAAATAGGAATGTTTTTAAAATGCAGAACTTTGTTCGAACTTTTTTGCCATGCTTTTATTTTTAGTATCCATGGAAATCGAAATCTGTATGATTGTAGTGTGAAATTAATAAATTCTATTTATGTCGTTGATTTTTTTCTTGTTAAAATTGTGTGATGCGTGTTACTCTTTCAAGTTCAGCGTTTTATAACTATTAGTTTAAAATAGTATCTTTACATTGCTATCAATTCCAAGTGTTTCTTGGAATAGAGATTATGGAATTTTCTTTGATTCGCTTTAATATCGCGATATTTTGATGGTTTTTGAAAGAATAATAGTTTAGCACTGATATTTAGTATTTGAGAGTAGTATGTCCAATTTATTTTGATAAATTACTTTTTTCTCAAAAAATATAAAACAAAAGGTTTTGTAGTTAATTTCGTTCATTTTCTGCGAAGGTTTCAGTATTCATAAGTTTTGGATAGGCAATTAAAACTGAAACAGTTATGTGAAGGTCTGAAGAGCAGGCGTGCAGCGGTTGCATCTATCTGTGTTGGAGATTGTAATACGCGCATTTATCATTTCTTTAAGTAGATATTAAACTCAGTATTTCCAGATAAGCAGCAATCGTTGGTTTTTCAAATAATATCAGCATGTGTTCTTTGTGTTCTTAAGTCTAAACTGATGTGTAATGAATTATTACTGACGCAACTTAGGAGTACTAGATGGTTACTGTTAATTAAAGCTTCGGGAAAATATCTTCGCATACAAAGGTTATCGTCAATGCTGACTGTTCCTGATAGAGTTCAGGGAATCACAGATCTCACTGATGCTGAGAAGATCCTCTTCAGGTTCGTTCATGAAGTTAAAATGAAACTACTAGAGGTTGGTCTTGTAAAATCCTGCAAATGTAGCAAGTTTTTGTGCTATGTTATTTATTTTGCATCAAAGTAGTGCTGAATTAATTTTATATATGAGTTCTCCATCAGGAAGTGATTAATGCATAAAAAACTTTGGCAGCTCCTTTTTTACGGTTTTGATGATTGTAAACTTCGTTCTAGCAAAGATATCACACTGCCAATTGTTGTGGTGCCTTCAAAGTTTGTCGGGCGAATTATTGGATCAAAGAAGATAAGTGACTTGACAATAACACGGTTCTGTAGCAAAATTAAGGTTAATTCTGTTGTACATGTTGAAAGGACGGTATTTTTATGTAGTTTCCCCTCATACAGTTGTGTATTATTCAGTTTTGTTATTAATGATTTTATTCATCAAAACATTTAAAAGACTAAAATACATGGCGTACATCAATTTACAAAACTATCTTACTAGTTTCAAAATTTCTTGTTTCAAATTTCAGTCAGACTTTCATGATGAATGTGAGAAATCTCAGTTGACTTATAAGGCAGTTTGATAAAAGTCAATTTGTTGTTCATTCATATTGTTTGTGCTTAATTTTCATGTCTCTTCATTTCAAATTTAGCCTCTCGTTAATATGGCTGTGGCAGATGAAAAAGCTATTGTGCTGTCTCCAGAAAAAATAAATGGTGATGTACGAGTGAGTGCTTCAGAACTTGTTAAAGATATAACGGGGATAACACCGAAATCAGGATCTTACTCAGTGACTTTAGATTATAATGATTGGCCTCTAAAGTCGTGCATAAGTGCCGTTTTACCAAAAGGACTAGAATTTAGGTAATTTTTTTTTGATATCTAATACAAGTTTCATTATAAATAAGTATAAAATTTGTTGCTTAAAATTTTTAATGATGAGAAATCAGTTTCAGTGGTTTTTCGCAAATTGGCCATATCATCCATGTAAATTTGCGAGATGAATTATTACCATATAAAAAAGTTATCGGAAAATTGCTTCTGGACAAAGTCACCAACTGTAAGTATGTATTTTTATTTTTACCTCCTATGTTTTCATGTCTGATTGCTTTTAATAATTAGATTTGAAGCGATCTGAAATAGTCAAGTGAAGAAATTTTAGAACTGTATTTTTAATCGCATTTTGTTTATTTAAAGTCGTTATGAAAGTTTTTTTTTCATGGGGATAAAAATGTGGTTGTTTCAGAACTGTTGTTAATAAATCCGATGCAATTGAGCATAAATATCGTACTTTTGAACTTGATTTACTTGCTGGTGAAGAAAACTATGAAACTGAAATACAAGAAGAAAAATTACGGTATCAGCTAGATTTTAGTCAGGTTATTATTTAAAGCATTTTTTATGGTAATGATTGGAATGTTCCAATATTTGTCATATCAGAACTGCATCTTTAATCAATTATCCATCTCTGTAGAGTGTTATTGACTTAGTTGTTCTGTGAATTTCTAAATTTAAATTAACTACTTTCTTGAAAATTGCAGTTTCATAATAATTTCTTGTTAAGGTTAGTATGTTTCTTATATTGCATGTCCTAGAGAAATTATTATTAAAATAATTATAGTTAACTGGGCTAAATTTTTAATCCACGTAATGAAACTGCAATTTTCAGCCTAACTATAATCAATTTTTCGAATTTTTGTATAACGTCTAACTATATTGTGATAACTAATATTGTTAGACGTTATAAGAAAATTCGAAAAATAATTACGTGGAAAATGTGAACAAGCCTTCTTTACATTACATAAAAGCTATTTTTTACTCAATAATGCAATACAAGAAATCGAAAGAATCAAAATTAAGATTGTTCACAGTGTATCAGAACCATTAGAATCATATCTGTTTCAACCACATTCAGGTCTTTTTTAATCCAAGACTGAGCACGGAACATAAAAGAGTAGCAAGGAGAATTGGCAAGCGATCTATCTTTTACGATTGCTGTGCTGGTATTGGACCATTTGTATTGCCGGTAATAAGAAATGGAGTTTATCGTGTTCTTGCTAACGACTTAAATCCAAATTGTATTGAGTATCTAAAGCGAAACTTGGTGCTTAATCATGTTCGTACTGAAAGTTTTCTTTTAAGATTTTTTTTAATGGTGTTCTATTTCTTTATCATTCACACATAAGTAAAAACAGACGTTTCATACACATTTTTTGTCGTTACATTTGTTAGAAAATATCATGTAAAGAAGTTGTTGCCTTATCATAAGGTATTACTTACTCTTTTGGGTAAGTAAAGAATGTCTTCAAAATGTTTTATTAATTCTTCTTTTATAAGTTTTAGTTACCTTTTAAACGATTGAAACTGTATAACATGGATGCTGTCGAGTTTATCAAGACAGTAGTTGCAAAGGATTTAGCAAACGAGTTAAACAGTGATTCCTCACACAATTCTAATGGTTTTTTTTTGAATTCATAATGTTTTTCCTTAATTTTTCAGTTTCAAAAATTTGTGAAGCAAGATAATTTGCTTATACATTTTTATCATGGTTTTTACTCATGATTCTTTATTTCAGATACAGCACCTGCAGATGCACATGTAGTAATGAATCTTCCAGGAATGTCATTGCAGTTTCTTCCTTATTTTCGGGGTTGTCTTGAAAATAAATCTTCGTTATTCGGTTAGTAAAAAACTATGGGACTGTTGAGGAGAAATTCATACACTCCTACTTCCATCCTTTTCATCTTATTTTGTTGCAGGTGGTAGTCTTCCGTTCCCACTATTTATACATTGTCATTATTTTATAAAAGCCCCAGATGATCGTGATAATGACTGGTACTTTAGTGAAGCTCAAAATTTGGTACGTCAGAAGCTTTGGTATGTTATTTTATTGAAATTAAAAGTTTAAATTTCAAAATTCATGATGTAATGTTCGGTCGTTTGGCTTGTAATTTGGTATCATCTTCTCTAACATTTTTTTAAAGATTGCAGTTAGACCCTTATTTTGAAAATTCATGCAAAAGATTTACTGCATTTATTTTTTTAGCGTGGAGAAATTACATTTTGATGAAGTGCGCTTTGTTCGAAACGTTGCAGGTCGTAAAAAAATGTTTTATGCCCTGTTTCAAATCCCTGACTCACTGTTGTTTCTTTGCAATGAACCAGAAATCAAAAGAGTGAAATCCTGCTGAGATAATAGGCTTAAAATCTTTGAGTGAGGTATAGAAAATGACATCTGGGGGAAAAAGCAAAGATTCGGAACTTTGCCTGAAATTAAAAAAGTTGAGTTGATGGAACCTTTGTAATGTTTTTATTCAGAATTTTTCAATAAATACCGTCATGAAAAGAGAAATTTGTTTGATGCTGAAAAGAAGCTAAAAGCAACAATAAATAGATTTTGTTTTAACTCATGAATTTTTCTTACAATTTAATGAGTAGATTAATCAGTATAATTGAAGTATGCATCAGTTTTATTATTCATTGGTATATGGAATTCTTCTACTTCTGTAAAACTTTAACTATACTTCTGTTTCCTCATTTCGTATGATGCTTGCTTTGTAAAGTCTTCAGAGGTAGTGTTAGGTATATTTTATTATTTCTTATGTTGGCTCTGAGTATGAGGACTTTAGGGATTTTTCCTAAAATTTGTTCGTAGAATATGTTCCCAAGATATTGCGACATTGCCATCATTATTCGGAGTTTCATAAAAGTTATAAGCATACGGGGAGTATTACATATAGAAAAAAAGTGTGGTGATTAGTCTTTTTTACTGCATTCATTTTGGTGCTAAATCGTATTCTGGCACCCTGGTTGTACTTGCTCTACGATCAGATTTGTTATTGTGATCACTTTTACTTCATCTTTAATCCAAGAGGTCATCAAATGAGATGTTTTCGAGCTTAACCAGACAAATACCGTTCTATGAATGGTTTTGGAAGGTATTGAAACTTGTCTTCTTTTCTACGCTTGCCTACCTCGATTGCTTCTTCCGCTTTGTCATATCTTCATAGCATTGTCACCTGGAGCAAGATCAGTCCCTGACTTGGGAGGCCTCTGTGTGGCATATTCACTCATCGTTAGGTTTACCACTTTAAGAACGGGCGGTTCAACATTCTTCGAGATTATTTTCTGTGTCAACTTTATTTGGTTTATCTTACGTCCTTGGGCCTTTACATCAGTACAAGGTACTTCTGCTTTACGTTCAGATAAACTTAAACTTATGTAGCGTGTTTTGCTCTAAACACGTACTTTGTGTGTTGACATGCCTCCTTGACTTCTCCCAGAATCGTTTTTGTGAGTCACGGACGGCCTGCAATACTCGTGATCACAGATTTCGCTTGCTTCATCAGTTCTTCGAGAATAATTGCACTCAAGAACTTCTCGTAATACAGGGAACGACACCAAAGCCATCCTTAGAAACGGTCACGAAACGCCTTCAGCACTTCCCCTGGTTAGCTGCTCTGGTGAACCTCGATTCTTCAAGCATAATCATCCTGATAGTTCCTGTTCCGTACACTGGTAGAATGCTCTCTTACATTCTTCGCGGAGCTTTTTACAATCCCATCTGTTTTCCTATTGTTTCCCACTATGATTCCAGATGCTATTCTTCTCCGTTTAACTTCCTGATATCTGGACTGTAAGACAACTCAGTATTCATTTAGGTTTCGAACTCTTTTTTCAACAGTATTTCTTTCCTCTATACTCATCCCATCTGTATCATTCTTCTATGCCTTTTCTCTTGTTTCTTCTTCGCTTCTTCGGAAGTATTGCAACAAAGGGTTGCATGAGCATCTTCGTTGTGATCCATCACTTCTTTTCACATCTTGGAAGTCGTCTGGAAGGTTCCACAGAATACTATCTGGTATGTGTACACAATTGTGGATAATCTAATTTAGTACCACCATCTGCTCCTGTGTTACAAATCGTCTTTACAACATATATTTATTTTATCACTTGACAGCTAAGCTACGAATTGAGCTTCCTTTCATCTATAACTTATCATTTTTTGCATTTTTAAAGCAATCAGTTTGCATATAAGCTCTTAGTCTTATGATTCAATCAGAAACTATCTAAAGGAAGTAACTTTATCCATATTTACAGTTTTTTTATAATAATTTTTCAATTCACATTGAAGTAAAAATAATCTAAATTTTCCTTGCGAATTCAGTTATGAACGTTGGGCCGATTGCAGAAAATTAATATTTCTTGGATTGTAATGTTGAAGATAAGTAGTTCACTTGGCTTTGTGAAAATTGTCAAAATCTCCACTAGAAGTTTTCATTTCAAGAAATATATTGCGGACAAGTTTTCTAACAGGTAAAAAATTTGTGAAATATGAGTAGCATATGTTTTACTTCATGTATATATGTTACAGAGAGAAATACCTTACCTTAGAGAAATAGGAAAAATGCTTTACCTTACTGATTTTTGAAATTAACTAGAAATACCTGACCTTACTAATTTGTAAAATGAACGAATGACCACTTTAATCCTTCGACTGTTGAAGTATGTAAATTGCAGTACTTTGTAGCATAATTCAAAAGACAGCTTTACTTTGATGCAAGTTTTCACAACAAAAAATTGAATTTGACTAACTAATATTAATAATTTGACTGAAGTGAACGGAATCTCAGTGCGTTATATGCATTGATATTGCTATGAACTTAAGTGTTGCACCACATGATTTAAAATATTAAATATAATTGTTGTAATTAGATTTGTAACGGATCGTGTTATGCATTTTGGTCCTGAGTTGGCGTGTTTGGAATGGCTAATGGAGTGTGGTTCCAGTGAGGTATCAGTTGCTTTTCATTTTCATTTTTTATTTTAAATTACTAGAAGATGATAAATGTATGGTCTTTTGTCTTTTTGCAATTTGTTGGAAACGGGCTTTCTTTTAAATTCAAAATGAAAGTTTGGTTTCTCAATTTTTTTATTTTTCAAAATTTTGCTTCTAGTCTGTTAAAGGTCACTTTTACAATCTACAGAAGGCGATTTATTGTAGGGATGATTTGTTGATTTGTGAATTTTTTATAAAATTTTTAATGGAATTGATTTCGAAGAAACCTGCTTTATTATTTGCTTTATAGGTTGTGATGAGTGACGGAACATCGATCGCTTGCATAAAAGATATGCACCGATATATCAAGGATTTCGGATTCAATTTCAAATATATTGTAGGTGTGAATGAGTATGTTTGAATAGCTCCTCTGAGTGATCTATTTTATTAATATATCTTCAAACTTTCAGCCGATTTCTGCGGTTCCATTTAAATGGAGTCCTGTGCTACCGATAATAGGCATCAAAAAGCTTGATGCAATTTATGATATGCGTTGGGCTAAGAAACCGAATGTATACATCACGAAGGTTAACTCAATTTCATACTTATATAGTTTACTTCAGGAAATATTATTTTTGCATTGATTTTCATAATTCGAAAAAACTGATAAATTTAAAAAAAATGATGGTTTCATGTGAAATTGAACCTCTGTCAACTTTCTTTGAGGTCGATGCTACAGACTCTGCAGTGGGAGATAGAGGCTTTCAATACTTCAGAGAATGTCGGCAAATAGAAGTTTTGAAGCTGAATTTTTGTGATTTCTTCACAAATATTGCAATTGAACATCTTGCTGTTGGTCGACCATCAAGAACTTTACGAAACCTTGTTAGCAAGCATTTTCTCCTATCTATATAAAACAGGATATGAATTTTTTATATTTTCCCAAGGAACAATATTTCATTGAAAATTTTTATGAACTTTGTATTCTTTTTGAAAATTGTAAACTATTCCTAAATAACTTTTCTGATTCAAAAGTTTTTTAGGAAATCGTAGCAAATCCATATGTCAGTGATGATTTCGTTAAAGGTATCAAGCGAATACGAGGATTAAAAAGGGCGCATTTTTATTTTTTGCCAAATGTTGCTGACCAAAAATTTATTCTGCAAACTCTAAAAGTTTCATTGCCAAATTGTCGATCCAGTTTTCCCGAAATTTCGAATATTGGTTATGGATATGAATGTTCTGAAGAGGAGAATGAAAAGGTTACTACTCTTCATCATGATTTTTATTCACTGAATCTTGAGATTAAATTAAATTGGGGGAAATATTTGTTAGCTAAAATTTTGTCCTTCATTATTTGCCTTGCTGTTAGAGAAAGTATGATCTTTGGTATTCTAAAAAGAATTTTGAGTAATATTGGAAATGGATTTTATATTTTAATCGAATATATAAAATTAAAACATTTTTTCATAATTTCAGCGCCAAACAAGTAAAGCAAAAGGTGACTAGTCAGTAACGATTATATTCCAGCTATTTGATGATGCACAATGATAGTCTTGCACATATTGGAGCTTCTCTATCGAGTTTCGTTCACTTTAGTCTGTCAAGTTAATGAATTACACTATCATATTGTACTCCATGCTATAATTTTGTGAAGAAAAGACTAGAAAAGAAAATCAATCACGTACTCAATTTGTTTAAAATTATTGTCATTTTGGTTACTCTATTTCTATCAAAAATAATCTATGCTTGTAACAATTGCTTTCAATACTAGTATTTTCAGCTTTGCTTTTTTTGAAATGTTCAATGAAAAGAGCAGTCATGAAAACTTTATTTTTAAAATTTATGTTTAAAGGCATTGACTACTTTCATTTCTTTTTAGCGAACTTTTAAAAAACTGAAAACAAGAAGGTAGATGAAACAACATGAATTTAAATCAAACATTGTAAAGTTGTTTTTTGTAGGATGGATAAGTGTTACAGTCCTGAATTAATATATTTTAAATTACTATATCATTTTGTCGGTAGATAATATAAGCTGTTGCAAGACTCATTGATTTGCAATTTTATTTGTATTTAATTGCTGTGAAACATTTTTTTTGAATGTTATACAGCTAAAATTACACTATTTTGTAAGGTGAAACTGAATCAAGTATTCATTTCTGTGACGTACTGCTAAGTTATTTAGGTTTGCTTTATAACATTTCTTGTGTAATGACAAAACTCATTATGTCCCTTCTGACTACATCGCATGTTACTTGCAAATTTCTGAACGAGATTGTTGTAGGGACCAAAAAGTCTGTTCGAAACTGAAACCTTCTGTAAAATTTAAACTGCGGAAGTTGTTTGTCGTTTAGTCAGCAGTTGATCTTTATGATTCTTTTTTTATACCCATTTTTTCAAATCTTTCGATTTTCTTTTAGCCATAAGTAATTGCGAAGCTTCAATCCAGGGATAGTAACAAATAGAAGTTGTCAAATACGTTATTGAATCTGGCACTGGATCGTATCCCAGTATTTCCACTGTACTTATCTCGTGTTCAGTTTCGTTGTGCTGATCTGCATTGCTTCATCCTCTTGGGATTTACGACGGTTATTGAATAAGATACTTTCGAGCGTCTTTGAAATTGTTTTTCTTCTGCAGTTCATGTCTGCTCTAAGCTTATTAGCTAGTATAACACAACAATTCCTAGTTGATTATCTGCAAGTAGTCCCACTCGTTGCAATATTCAACTGCATTTAATTGTGGTACACACTTCGTTGTCAACTTTTGGGGTTCGATTGGCCTGAAGTCGCTGCCTTTATTTGGCCCATCATTCGGAATAAGGTAAGTAGTTTTTTTTCTCCTTTCCATCCAAGCAATTAAATCAGATCTTTGAATTCTGAAATCATCAAAATAGCCTTATCGCTGCTTCTCTTAAATTTTAAAATTGTGCGCCAAATCCAACTTGGATTTTGTTTCGTTTTTTGCTAGCAATAAAAGTAGTTAAATGCATTTTCAATTGCAATTAAGATCTGATAATAAGAAGGTTAATTGCTAAAACGACAAGTCATTGCTGCGCTCTTTTGTGCTATGTAAATTTAAACATAGAATGCAGATTGATGTCATTTGTGCATTAGAATAATCTCGTCGTCACTTTGTGCAAGAGCAAAGCTAACTCTACTTGTACACTATCGTGTGACTTTAATCTTCTCGAAAACATTGTGCTCAGAATCACATGAGAGCCACTGCTTGGATTGCAAGCAAATATTCTCAGTCAAACATTTATTA